GAACGTCACATTATAACGCCCCCAGAGCTGAAAGGGCGAGCATGTTTGGTGGGATGGGGATTCGAACCAGCGAATATGAAGAGAAAAATAACTTACATGTGTAATGCATTGACGTAACAAGGTATTTTTCCTTTGTGTCAGATCGACACGTGACTATCACTATACCTCAGCATCCTTTATAGGCTCATTGGGATTTTGTTTTCAAGGTTTAAAGGTTGTTTTATATTTCTATTTTTAGTAAATTCGATGCTGTGTGTTTAGTCAGTTAGAAAATGGGACTCTATTTGTACATCCCAACAAAAAAAATGTTTTGTTGACGGTCTGTATCAATAACGTTGACCGAGAAAATTTTTAAATCAATATTTTCAACGTGAAACAACCAGTGTTTTCATATTTGCATAATTCACATTTCAATGTTTGTCATTAATGTAACATCTACATACAAATACCTATAATGTTTTGTAATGCAGTTGTTCCTTTAATATTCAAGAAGTTGAGCACGTTATATTAGAACGAGTTTGAAGTCTCGCCTTGTCGTTAAAGCTCATATAGTCACGTCTGGTCATGCTCTACCTGACGACAGTGTATCTTGACAGCATCATAGTTTCTCTTGCAAAATGCTCTGGCGTAAGACTATCATGTCCAAAGCATACTATTTCTCCCTGTTGACTTTCCATAATCCATCTAATCTATAGGGACGACAGTTTTTCAGGTCTAATTTCAACATAGACGCTGCGACCGGCAACTTGACCGGTATGTCTTTGTATGAAATATCATGAATACCCGTTTCCTTCTTCAACTGCTTGAGGTATGTGACGTTTTAAGGGAAAGTCTTACTGGAACCATTATTTTGGTGAACCCATACCCTTTTGGCCTCGTTTCGAAATGAAGATTCTTCTTGATTATGTTGTGTACTGTTGCCTGGGGGAAGTGGACGGCTTTTGGCACTAACTTTTGTCTATTCTCAACTGTTATAAGACGACGCACTTTGCTTACCACAGCTAGGATAAGACTTCTTGCAGGTCTCTTTCTTAATGGTTCTAGATCCCTAGTTGATCGATATTTGTTTTTAATGTCATTAACTACAAGTGATAACCCCATTTTAAACATTTTAAATTTCCAATCTGACCATATTTTTTATCATCTGACTGTATCAATAATTTGCGTTGGAAAGGGTTGTTACATGCCATTTCTAAAAGCGACCAATTCTCGGTTGCATCACACTACCTAAGAAACACAAAACATTGTCAAAATGTAGTTCTGAAACATGCAGTTTCACTGCAACTCTCTGTATGCCGTATTTTACTAATTTACAAATTCAAAATCATTTTAATATAACGTATTCAGCCTTCTGTATATAACTGTATTTAAACCACTATTTAATATTACAAAACCAAAGATATTTTGACTCATGTTATGGAGTGAACGCCTTTTCCAAGCTGGTGAAGCATGATTACAATTAATTATACTTGTTATTATACATTACTATTAGATCTATTATATTTTTAACACTGCATTATTTATATAGTCCCTCAGGGATTTTCAACAATTATAAGAATGAAAAATAATAATATTCCAATCACACTATGTTCCCTATATCTTTGCCGACGACGCGTTTCGCTCAATAGAGAGCTTCTCAGGCCGACGGGGACGCAACAAACACAGTAATTGTCGGAACACTATTTATATAAGAAATTTGTTACAACAAGTGTTGTTATGGAACGACTCTTCCAAGCTGGTGAAGCATGATTATAGTTAATTATACTTATCACCAGGCATTACTATTAAGCCTATTATATTTTTTAACATTGCACTCCAGACCATGTGATAGTTTAATATATGGATGTATGACTAGATAGTATTAAAAACGTTTGGAAGAAAAATATCCAAACAGAAGTTTGCTAACTGATTTTGAGCAAAAGAACAAGACACACCTGAGAAAAGAGTCTTCACTGTTCATCATGGAAGCGGACAAATTCACACAACGTACAGAGTGTTTAAGACACCAAAGAGCTCTGAATTTGGAGTAACTCACTTCTCTTAAACTGAAGGTTATTTTTACGAAGGAGAACTCTCCAATTCAAAAATGTAATTATGATAAGGCTGGGCATATCTTCTAGAATTACAAACAAGATAGTAAAGAATGATTTGAAGCTGACCAAGGTTCACAAGATTCAGGCCACATTTCGAATCAGGAAGATGATGGAAGAAACTAAAACCACAGGAATCCCAATACAACTCCAATGAACTTTTGTACTCTTGGTTTTGGAAGCCAAATCTCTTGTGCAGTGGAGTGTCTGTGGAAAGTTGATATGTGTGGTCTAAAACTGACCTAGCCATCTTTTATAGAAACTTGTCACAATAAAATTAGCGGTGTCGGTCAATATAGCGTCATTGGGATGTGGCTAAGCACGAATCGCCAATGGAAGAAATTGTTCCAAAAGAAGGGCTATTAACCTCAGTAACCCAATTAGCGGTGTTGGTCAATATAGCGTCATTGGGATGTGGCTAAGCACGAATCGCCAATGGAAGAAATTGTTCCAAAAGAAGGGCTATTAACCTCAGTAACCCAATTAGCGGTGTCGGTCAATATAGCGTCATTGGGATGTGGCTAAGCACGAATCGCCAATGGAAGAAATTGTTCCAAAAGAAGGGCTATTAACCTCAGTAACCCAAGAAACAGGAACAGTTTGTTTAATTTTTTTTTCACTCAGCCAAACTTATGTGTATAGGTTCAAGTATATGACGAGTACTGTCTCTCACTTAAATGTCTGAAGTGTGAGATGTTTATAATTTTAAATATTAAGAGTTAAATAGCTTATGATTTTCAATGTTAAGAGCTAAATATATATTAATTTTAGTTTTGCTAATGTTGAACACATTGATCAAAATAATTTTAGTGTATTTGTTTTTCTAATTTTTTGCGCATATAAATAAAAAGAAACACGCTTGTTTTGTTTTAGCGCAAGGCTGCACTATGGGTTGTCTGCGCTCTCTGTCGTATAGATCAAACCTTGAATTCTAGCGTTACAAGCTCCGAAGCTTTTCGTTAAGCCACCAGGACGAAAAGAACAACACTGGTAGAGAAAATATGTAAAACTGTGTATTTAATAATTTACAGTTTTATCCACTGATTTATTGCGTAAAACAGTATATTCAGTTTTGAGGTAACTGTAACGTCAAGTGGTTGTTATGGTGAGATTATTATTATGAAACATATTTGACTAACTCATAAAACATCTATAATTAATACGACTGTGGCATTTCGGTTGTCAGTATTTTAAGAAAGCAACCATTCTGATCATCGAAAATAAATATCTATTTTTAACCATTGATCAAATTTTTACAGGCATTCAAAATTTTGTAGTTTGTTTCGTTTTCAGTAAGTTTTTCCAGTTAAGTAGATTAGATGAACTCTTTAATTGTTTTTGATTGTTGTTATTTTCCTCTTTCAGTCTTCTAGACAATACTAGGGAGTTGTCAAAGTGGGAGTAGACGTAGTAGTCAGTAATTTACCCGTTACCACTCAATTAAACCGAAAAAGCGAAGAACATTCTAACTGAGGCTGCACGTGGAGACTCGTCCATAGCTAGGCCTAACTTTTGGTCGCTGTGGCTTTTTCCGAGTTTAGGAATTTTGAAGGAGATGCCACACAAAGGTAAAAGGACAGCAATTGCATAGATTTTTTTTTATAGAGTTAAGCCTAATCTGAACTGAATTTCATACATCATGCTTCAAAACAAAAATCGTTTAATGGAAGACTGAATGTAACGATATTGACAGGAACTTTTTCACCCATAACCTAAAAGATTCACGTGGTTGATAAATTAGTGCTGTGCTTACAGAGATTTATTTTCTAAATTTGATAAGAACAAACTCAAAACGTGTTTCCGTTCTTACACCCAAATAAGGCATTTATATTGTTCAGAGTAATTTCCTGTGTTTCCATGCTTAACAGAGTAAATTAACAGAAGTAAACAGATATATAGAAAAGTGAAATTACACTGAGAATTATATTGCAGGAAATTCCGTAAATTTCTGAATTAATCCTGTTAATTATGTGAATCTACAAACACTCTGAAATGTTGGTTTGGTCTCCTCGACATGACTTTCTTGAAAGTTAGTTTTAAGGTTGTTAAACATATTTTTGTTTTATGCTTGGAGACGGCTTGAATGGGTAACGAAGAAAAACTTTAATATAAGTTTAACATAACAGCAAATGTACAACGTTTTGACAAGGTTTTGTCATCAAGCCGTCTCCAAGCACTATTGTTTTCAAAGTGGGTTCCTCGTAATCGAATTTGATATTTTTCTTTTGATGTTGTTCTTCCCTCATAATTGTTACAAAAAAAACACATAAACATTCTTTCACGTACTTTAATCACACCGGTTTTGTAACCAGTCGGGATAACGTTCATTTGTCCTTCACACAAAATGTCTTACAAAAGTGGGAAATGCAAAAACCACAGAATTCCTCTTACTTTATAAGCTTTGAAACAGATACTTGGCGAGAGGAAGTTCCTGTAAGTCTACATGATCCGAAGAATTAAATCTAGGACCAGCAGTTTCACTTTAAACCATCTGAACCATGTCTAAGTTTGCTTTTCTTATAACACCCAGTTTCAAACACCTGCGTCATCTATAGTTATACAGATATAGTTTTTGAAGCTTGTGCATATGTAAAAGGTTTTGAAAGGCCTCGATATTTATGGACAAATAACTCATTTGTGTTACAGAACAAACATATATATGTATATGAATATTAAATGTGGATGTGGTCTTTTTCAACAATGCCATTATTGGATTTATATGGATGGTGTTTAGAGCGCTGTTCCGACTGTACTTTTATATGTTAATTCATTTGAATCGTTTCAGATCATTTTAATCCGCTTGGGTTTAAAACCCTTTATGAAAAGAAATGAAATAGTGTCCATATTTTGCCAAGTGAATGTTGAGGCTGTGTTAGTCTATTGAATTGATCTATGTGTGTGGGTAACAAAGACCAAACAGTTATAACCTTAAAAAGCCGTTTTCTTTCACCCGCTCAGCAGTAACTACGAAAGTTTACTCTCAATTGGATTTCAAGAAATATTTAGCGTTTGAAAATAGTCAGCGATGTTTGGCCTGAAACATTTACCCCTATACATCTTCCTCTAATAGCGTGTGTAATCTTGTTCTAGATAACTTAGCGATAAAGACACTAAAGTAAATAAGTATATTGCAACCTCTCGTTATAGTGTAGGTTGGTCGAAATGTTTACCACCCCTTTCTTACTGCGCGTGCTTCTGGAAGAGCTATGATCACCCACATGCGCCCATGACAGTTTTATGCAAGTACGCTCTCAGTGCGCGGTTCTTCTTGAGACTTATGTCTCGTGCATCTCATGAGGACTATCATTAAATGGGTATTCACGCCACTGAAGGTAAGAGTTAAACAAACCAGAAGGAAAGGACAAGCTTTCCAGCCAAGTCTGTTTAATGGACAGAATGATAGGATTAGCTTTCCAGCCAAGTCTGTTTAATGGACAGAATGATAGGATTAGCTTTTTAGCCAAGTTTGTTTAAGGAACAGAAAGATAGGAATAACTTTTCATTCATATCTGTTTAATGAACAGAAGGATAAGACTAAATTTCCAATCAAGTCTGTTTAATGAACAGAGTAACAGGACTAGTTTTCCTATGATTTTAATGAGAGAGAAGGATAAGATAAACTTTCCAGTCAAGTCTATGAACAGAAGGATAGGACAAGCTTTTCATTCATATCTGTTTAATGAACAGAAGGATAAGACTAACTTTCCATTCAGGTCTATTTTATCAAATATATTTTGAATGAAGAGAATCTGTAAATATTGTACTTGTATATAACGACACATGGTTGTTGAATGAACAGTTTAAATGGCTTGTTTTGTTCAAAGCTATTTCTGCTTATTTGCTAAACGTAGTTGTTGGATTTTGAAATCTGCATTAAAAAAATCGAATCACGAGCAGCTGAAAACGAACTCAAAAATGTCACAAAAATATTTTAAATAGAAAATGATTAAAGTTTCATTTGAATTTAAGCACGAAAGAATTTTAGTTTCTCAAAACAACCAAAATTAATTAGTGTTTGTTCTATTAACTTGGTCTATCTATTCAAAACGTCTTATTTTATTTTATATGTGTAAACACTTCAACTGTAATATTTTTTTGCTTTCCTTGTACACAGTTCAGACTCTTCTAGACAAATATAATGAATTCAGTCAAGGAAGGGGTGTAGAATAGCGTAATAGATAAAAAATTTTTCCAAGCACGTTCCCTTGGCTTTGGTTTCGATTTGAAGATATTAAGGCTTCATTTTCATAAGTTCATTGAAATAAGTATAATTCAGTTGTGATGGTTATTTCTATTGTTTTTGCTTACGTACTAAATACGTGTACTTAGGCTTAGAATAAATCCACGCATTTACAGATTTTATTTTGTCTGGCAATAAATACGTGCAAACGATATTACGTTTACTTTAATTAAAAAGCATCAACCTCTCACAATCATTTATGTTTTATTTTTATTATAGTTTGTAGGGTTCGATTTAAATCAACAACATTAATGTACACAGCGTGGTACCAAGTAAATAGACACCACCTTTTCAGAAAAAAAATAAACTTTTCAGTCATATTCACGT